AGAGACATTTTTGGCTGACCCAGGAGGGGTGGGAGCATCATTGGCCCCTGGTAAGTGGAGGCCAAGGATGACCCTCACGGTGTTACAGTGTGGCGTTGTCCCACAAGGACTTCTGGTGTCCCAGTGCTGAAGCCAAGTCAAAGAAGAGGGTAGGGAGGTCTGAGAGGTGGCACTCTGATCCCAGCATCCTTGGAATCTGTCCCCAGTTCAGCCTCAGAGATGGGACTCAAAAGCCTAAGAAGCCAGACTTGCTCCTACACCCCCTACCCAAACCACCCTGGAGTGTAGAGGCTCAGCCTGGCACCCAGCAGGCACAGTGTGTGGGTGGCAAAGAGCTGGTGACGGTAGATCTGAAGCCCTGGTGATCCAGCGGCTGAGCAGCTGGATGTGACGTCCTCAGTGAGTCTGCAGTGGGCTTCAAGCCCAGCTTTGCCTCCCGGGGACTGTGTGACCTGGGCCAGTGGCTCGCCATCTCTGTGCCTGCACTTGCACACAGTGGCCAACATCGTGTGAGATGGCATTAAACCTCAGGGCTCTTGTCAGGGTGGCATTTGAGAAGTCTGACCAGCTCTGGGGACAGAGCGTGGCACCTTGGGCAGATGTGGCCGTTTAAGAAATGACTTAATTCTCCCCATGCCCATAAACCCAGGACAAGGGGACACATCCCTTCCTTGCCTTGTGGGCCATAGACAGACTGCCCAGGCTCTCCTGAGCATCCCTGAAGAGAGACATGAGCCCACGGCCCCCGAACCCTCTAAGCTCAGCTCTGCATGTCTCACCTCCCTGGTTCAAGAACCCTGCTTGGAACCTAGCTGACATCAGCAGGAACCCAAGCCTCCCCGTGTTCTAAGGTTAAGGCTAGGGACTAGGCAGCCAGGCCCAGCCTGAGCCCCGAGGAATACCCACACAGCTCCTACGGCATGAAGAACCCAGACCCTCCAAGGCCAGCTCTTACCCATAAATGTCCACGATGGTCTCAACACCTGCCACACACACAGCGCTGGTAGGGTGTTCCAGGGACACACGCACAATCCTCTGCAGAGACATACTGGCCTAGGATGGGGGCTTTGGCCACCAAACCCAGCACTAGCCAGAAGGCCCCCCGGGATGTGGTTTAAAAGTACCCAGCTCCACCCCTCCAGCCCAGGGTGCAAGCTCATTGGTTCCAGTCCTAGATGCCCAGTCTCTTCTTAGAGGCCAAACGGCTAACCCCCTCTTCAGGATTGGCTGGAAAGGCTCTGACATTTGCATATGAACCTGTGGCTCCCACCCCAGGGCACCCAGAGAGTTAATTTCTAGCTGGAAAGAACGCAAGTCCCCACAGGCACTTGGGCGGCACATCTGGGTCGATGGGGGCAGGGGGAGGGCAGGTAGGGCTTTGCCCTGGCCCTTCACTGTCCTCTTGGGGCTCCTCTCTACACTGCTGGAAGGGACTGCTGAGAATGCAGGGTCCCAGGCCTGATCCAATCTGGTGCAGGCAACTGGATTCTTCATGCAAGCCTGAGAGAAATGCTGGCCTTGTCTCCTTTTCCGCCTCCCTTTCCTCCTTCTCCTCTTCTCCCCACCCACCTCCCCACCCTTCTTTGTCTTTACTTTTTTGAGAAAAATTGTAATTAATTATTATTATTATTATTATTATTATTATTATTATTATTATTATTATTATTGAGACAGGGTTTCTCTGTGTAACAGCCTTGGCTGTCCTGGAACTCTCTCTGTAGACCAGGCTGACTTCAAACTCACAGAGATCCACCTGCCTCTGCCTTTCAAATGCTGGGATTAAAGGCATGCACCACCGCCACTTAGGTTTTTTTTTGTTGTTGTTTTGTTTTTTGTTTTTTTTTGTTTTTTATTTTGAGACAAGGTCTCTAATACCTCAAAGTCACTATGAGGCTGAGGATGGTCTTGAACCTATGATCCTTCTGCCTCTCAAGTGCTGGGATTACAGTCATGCACGCTCTGCTCAGTTTTATGAGTAGATTATACAGATTGGCGCATGCTAGGCAGGCACTCTACCAACTGTATATCTCCAGCTCCCACTGGCCTGTTTTTTTTTTCTTTCTTTAAATATATTGCAACTATATGTATATATATGATGTTTTACACTGATGTATTTTGGAGGAGACAGTGCACATGTGTGTCATGGTACATGTGTGGAGGCCTGAGGAGCTGGCTCTCTCCTTCCACTGTGGGCATTCCAGAGCAGAACTCGGGTCGTCAAGCTTAGTGGTAAGCACCTTTACCCACTGGGCCATCTTGTTGGTTCCCTGCCTTTCTTAATTAAAAGCTTGAGTTGTAAGACAGGACTGGGCTTCCTCCCTGCCTCAGGGCTTCCTGGCAGAGCTGCTCCCTCCCCCATCCCTCCATCCCCCCTTACCCCCCCCCCCCAACCCCGACCTGTGAGGGCTGAAGGAATCAATGGTGGGCGGGTCTAGCATGGGCTGCGTCCATCCTCCTGGCGCTGTTGGAGGTCAAAACCACTCAAGGAGGTAAATGATGCAGAAGTGAATTCGGTCATCCCTAGTCATTAGGATCCAAAAATGTCAGAGTAGGAGGCCAACCTGTAGGTAGGGAAATGGAGGCCGAGAGGTGGCTGGAATATCAAGAACAAGGACTCTGGGAAGAGGAGTCTTGGGTTCGTTCGGATCAGGCTGTGCCATGTACTGATGAGGCTGCATCTCTTCTTCTGGGGCCTCCATTTCCTCATGTGTAGAAAATGTGGCCAGTCACCTGTGCTGGCAGAGATAATGGCTGTGGAGGCTCGGAAGTGCTGAGTAGAGGTCCTTCCCCCCTCCCTGTGGTTGCTCCCCTCCAGGGCAGGGCAGGGGCCAGCATCCATTTCCCAGTGTCCCCCATTTGCCCCAGTCAGAGGATGACATTTGGAGCCTATCTATGACTGTGCCTCTGTGGTAGTTCAGTGTCTGGGAAGAGCATTCCCTAGTAGCAAGGACCCAAGGACAGCTCCACCAGAGTTCTGGAGAAAGTCCCAGACAGCCTCCATAATTGTGGGGGGGGCGGGTGGAAAGGGTGGGGAACTCCCCTCCAAGGATGCTGACACATTGTGCTAGGGACCTGATGAGTCTCACGCCCGGAATCTCTATCTCCCTTTGGCAGTAGATCCCTGCTGTCAAACCCACCCAGCTGGTACCAGTTTTTAAACTGCATTTTATTATAGTACATGTATTCATTTATTTTGTGTGTATGGACATATGTGTGCTGTGGTGCATATATGGAGGTCAGAGGCCAATTTGTGGGAGTCTGTTCTCTCCTTCCACCATGTGGGTCCTGGGAATTGAACTCAGGTCATCAGGACTGGCACCAAGTACCTTTACCCACGGAGCCATCTTGCTAGCCCAGTACCAACTTTCAGAAACAGCCCCAGGATTGATTCAGGCTTTTAGAGGTCAATGACTGGTGGACAGCTTCCTAGTCCATAAAAGAAAGCTACCTCTGTGTCAAAGGGCACAGGCTGAGGTCATAGCAAGCGTGTAAGATGAGAAGGCAGTGGCAGTTCCAGGCTCCTGAGATCAGACCACCAAGGCTGGTACCTCAGCATTGAGAACTGGGGCTACAGAGCCGCCTTGGCCTATGTCCTGGGCCCAGGGGAGCATCATCTGGGGCATCTTCCCCTCTGCTAGCAGAACCCAGGGGCCTCTCTGCCTCTTTTCTTCCTCCCTGACAGATGAAGGGAAAGCCAAGGAATGGGGAGAGAGGAAGAGGCAGGTCTCTTCTCTCAGATAGTATCTCAAGCAGATCGCAGGGTGGAGATGGCATGTGCCAAGCATTCTGTTGAATCAGCTGCTGCCTGGCACTCACCTGCCTTAGCCCAGGAAGCTGTTCAGCTGACAGGGGCCACCTGTGGCCTGCTGAGGCTGAGCCCACGGACTTGTGGCAGGGTGTGTAGAACAGGGAAACGGGGCCCCTCACTTTCCTCTCCGTCAGCCCAGGGACAAAGGAAGCAGCCACTTAAAGAATGCACGATGATGTTTTTATTGATCAGCAAGAGGGTGACCAGGCACCCAGAACCTCAGACAGCCTGGGTGGCAACTCTAGAGTACCCCTCATGTGGTTCTGAAGACTCACTCCCATGCTCGCCAGGGCTCTGTGGTCTCCTCTTCAGAGGCCAGGCCCTGCCCCCAACCCTTCTCTTCCTCTTCCATTTTCTTCTCCTTCTCCATGGCTCAGCCTCAGCTGGGTCATGATCATAGAGAAGGGTGTTGGTGTCGGGAGCATACAAATGGGGTTCCAATTCCATAGAACCTTCTAGAGGGGAGGAGGAGCCAATCCCTACCTGGCCATGTCCATCCTAACAGTTCCATGGAAGCCTTTGCTACCTGAATGTCCTATGGTTACAAAGTGGCAGCAGCTACCTCAAGTCTGGGATCATACCAGAAACTACTGAAAAAATGCAAAGACAGAATCCAGGGGCTGGCAGCTCGGCGTGGCTCCTTGACCAGAGGAGGAAGGGAGCAGGCAGCTCCCTCTACCAGCCATGCCCTGCAGCTGGGTCTGCCTGCCTGCTTGCCTACACATGCCTCTGTGACCTCACCCAGTCCCATTAGCCTGTAGGGCATCTGTCTGTCCTACCGTGGGAGGGGGCACAGGCATGCCATGGGGTTTACTAGGGCAGTGCAAGTGTTATGTAGGGTCCCGGGCTGCTGGGGGAGTGTGGGCTCTCCCCTCCCACTGCCTGCAGCAGGTTGGGGAGTAATTAGAGACTATTAGAGGAAATTAAGGCCCACCTCCAGATGTAACTTAATGGCCCGCCTCACCCTCTCTTAACACCTTGGGCCCCACCCACTTTGTATCTGGAACAGCCAGCAGCCTTCAGATTCAGGGGCCCCAAATGCCTAGCCAGGAGTCCCAGGCTTCCAGGTTCCCCACCCCAAGATGGGCAACCTATTTGACTTCCTGTTTGGACCTTCCTGCTTGCCCTTCCCTACCCCCCACCCCCGCTTGCAGACTTCTGAAGGCCTCCCTATGCCCCCCAGCATCTTCGAACCGGAAGCACCAGGTCTCGTAATTAAAGGCCGTCCCAACAACTAACAAGCATCCTGAGGAGAAGGAGTGGATAGAGTAGGGCATTAAAGGGGCTTGCCTGCCTGCTCGCTTTCCTGTTTGAAAGAGGCCCCCGGCCACCCAGATTACCAGTCTTTGCTTGCCTACATAGAGCCGAAGGGTGCTTGCAGGCCATGGCCTGAGGTCTCCTTAGGAAAAAGGATGCCCCAAATATTCCTTTTCATCTTACACAATCCAGGAGTCATATGGAACCATGGTGCTCTCTCACCCCAGGGTCCAGGCATGGTGAGCATTTCTGACACAGCCCCAAAGCCATTTTTTCCTCCGGCTCCAGAGAAGTGTCCAAAGACAAGGGAACAAAATGGGGTGTGCCTGTGAAGGCCATGCCTTTAACAGGCTCAGCTGCCGACCTTGACCCTCTGGGAGCTGTGGCTGGGAACAGGAGAGGGAAGAGTTACAATAGTCTCCCTGGGCAAGACTGCTCCAGAGACGAAGAAGTGCGGTGTCCCCCTGGAGTCCGGCTGACCGAAGTAGCCAGCCTGCTTTCAGGCCCCAGCAGGATGGAGGCTGGTCCATGTCCCTCACCCTTGCACTCCCATTAAAAGGGCAGCAAGGGTGGTGGCCGGGCAGGCTCAGGGCACTGAGTTCCACCAGCGAAAGGTGAAAGGTTTCCTCCGCACGTTAGTGCCACAATGAATCTCCCCCAGCAACTGGTGGTAAGACAGGAAGTCGTCGATGAAGACACAGCGTAAGCCCAGCGGCTCCAGCAGGGAGCGGACCTTCTCCTCCAGGCAGCAGCGGCCATTGATGAGGGGCCCAAAGGGTTTAGGGATGCCCAGGTACTTGCCGAGGACTACCATGTTGACCTGCAAGAGAGAGGAAGAGCCCCATTGGCGGTGGATGTACCACACCCTCGGCTCCTTCTGGGAATGGGTCAGGAGCTAGTGTCTGAGATAGGGGGTGGGGTATGAGCCCATTATAATTCGGGAATCATAAACAGGAAGATGGCGACTTTGAGGCCAGCCTGGGCTCCATAACCAAAACATATCTCAACATTTAAAAAAAAAAAAAGGCGGGGTGGGGGAGGGGTGCTGGGGATGTAGCTCAGGGGTAGAGTGGTTACTTAGTGGATAGCAGGTACTGGTTAACTCCATACCGATGGCCGATGGCAGTCACCCCTCCCTCCCATGCTTTCTTCCATCTCCCAGACAATTGTCACGTTGTTACAAGTTTGTTACAGCCAGAGATTAAATATGCAGATCTAGGGGCCTGTCCGGTGACGGTCCTCACCAGTGTGGTAATGCCTCGCTCGGCTGTTCACAGCAGGCTTTAGTCCTCAGCAATTTCTGAGAATGTGTGGACTCCAGATACCCCCTCACAGCCCTCTTTGAGGTTGTGGTTCAGACAGGTTAAATGACATTACCGAGGTCACAAAGCCTTGTTGCCCACTGATGGGCTGGAATGTGCATGCTGGGGAGGTGAGGAATGCTGGGGGGGTCAAAGGGCAGAGAGAGGAATAAGAAGCCATGGTTATTGCCATGGCCAGGCCTCTGCTCCTGGAGTCAAGAGTCACAGCCCAAGGCCATGGGGTTTAACCTCAGCCACTCTCCACCTGCCATGGGAACCAGAGCCCAGTGTCCAGATGCCAGCAGCCATTAGCCACATACAGCTGTGTAGGTTAAATCACTTCCTGTCCCTGGTTGTTTCTACGGGCCACATGTGGCACACCATGTCATCCCAATGGCTCAGAGGATGCTGCGTTTCACTGCAGAGCGCCTGAGTGCTCAACCCAGCAGGGAAGGACTCTAACAGGAGGCAGAGGCCCAGCTTCAAACAGTGCTGTTCAGTGAGGAAGGATTTACCTGTCTGGTATTGGTTGTGATAGGAGGCCAGAGATGCCGTTAAATACCCTGCTATGCCCAGCGGCAGCAGCAGGCTCAGGTGGAAAACTCCTGTCTTTGGAGAACAGTGCCCTGCCAGCTTGGAGGCGAGACCAGGAACTAGGCACTCGCTCGCTCCAGCTTTCACACCCCTTCCCCTAACTCGGTACTACTCTGGTCTTGTCCCAAGGAGAAGTACCCAAGCTAAAGGCTCCACAGAAAAGGAGGGTCACTTCCTGCTCCAGAGCTCACCTCTCATTGAGGCCCTCACCCTATATCCCTTCCTGGCAGGAAATGGGCTTATGGGCCAGCTGATTTGAGAGCATCACTCAGGCCCCTCCCGACTGAGGGCTCTAGGCCTCATCTGCATGTCAGCTGCCTAGTGGCCACTCTTTGTTCTGCCTGCCAGGAAGGCCTTTTACAAAGAAACCCCTTGGGGGAGCTTCAAGTGAAGGCTAATGTGGGAACTGGGCAAGCGAGCCTCCAGACAGAAGGCAGAAACATCCATGTCTGCCTTCCCGTTTAGAAAATGAAAGCTCCTTGGGGTGGGGCTGACCTCTCCACTGTGGGGTGTCTAGCAACCCTCCCCGCTGTTGCCCACCAGGTGCCAAAGGCACCAACTCATTGTGGTCATCAGATATGCCCCAGGGCATGCGCCTGCCCCGACTAGGAACTGCTGACCAAGCTGTCCCCTCTCCGTTCAGCCTCTGTATCCACCTGTCCTCCCAGCCATCAGGGACTCTCACCATGTCGGGGAAGAAGGCTTCAGCATAGGCTCCCTTCAGGAAGAAGAGCTGTGGGATGTCCACGATGTCGCTCTCGGACAGGCCCAGCTCCTGCTTCAGTACCTCCCGGTTCCAGTCGATACATTTCTGGGGAGAAGGGAAGCCGTGCCCCCGGACAGAAGAATCTGAATGCACTGTGCTTGAGTGCAGCCCTGAGCACCCGTGGGCGCCTCGGAGCCTCTCAATGGCTCTGTGCAAAAGGATTCACAGCTCTCTGAAGTGGGGGAAACTGAGGCTCGGGGCAGCTTGCCCAACCGCACAGAGCTAGGTATTCCTAGTTCAGGTTTGGTTCCAAAGGATCCTGTCACTTGATTACAATTTTTAAAAGTTATTTTTATTTTATGTATGTGGATGTTTTGCCTGCATGTATGCCTGTGTGGTGTGTGCATGCCTGGTGTCAGTGGAGGCCAAAAGAGGGCATCAGATCGCCTGGAACTGGAGTTACAGACGGTTGTGAGCTGTCCTGTGGGTGCTGGGAATCGAACCTGGGTCCTCTGGAAGAGCAGTCAGTGCTCTTAAATGCTGAGTCCTCCCTTTAGCCCCTGATTACATTTTTAATTGTGGTGTGTGTGTGTGTGTGTGTGTGTGTGTGTGTGTGTGTGTGTGTGTAACACAGGCACATGTGGAGGTCAGTCAATAATTCTTTCCTTCCACTATGAATTCCAGGGTCGAACTCAGCTCCCCAGGCAGCAGGAGCCTTTACCTGCTGAACCACTTTGATGACCCCCTGTCACTTTAACAGACTGTCCCAACCACTGCGTGGCTAAGACGTCTGCCCCACCCCAGCCATCTAGGTAAAATCCCTGGTTTGGTGCAGAGGGGCCAAGGGGCCAAGAGACCAGCTCCAAGGCCTGCAGAACAGGGCTCAAAGAAAAAGCTGCAGCATAGCGAAACTTAGGACTTTTTGTTCGTCTGGTGGGTTGACCTTATGAATATCAGTTGTCATCTGCTGTCTGTCTCTACGGCCCTTAGCACTTCTCCTCCCTTTTCTGAGCCCAGCACCACACACATGGCGGCCACCGTCTTTGGTGAGCCCTATCCCTTCCCAAAACTGTCCCACCTGCTCTCTGCTCAGGGCCCCTAAGGACTCCATGTCACTGCATCGCCCACTCCCATTCCCAGGGCGAGGCCTTGGATTCACTTCCGTGGAAGGGGACTGCACCCCCAGAGCCAGGCAACTCCAAGTCCCTGCCATGGCCTAAGGGCGGCCAGCCTGTCCCCCCAGTCTGCCAGCCCCTGAGGGTAAAACTCACTCCCACACCTTCAGAAACCTACAGGACAAACCGAGACTGGACCGTGTCCCCCATCTCTGGACCCAGCCACTGTCCTGCCCTCACCTGCACGTGCATACTATCCCTCCTGAGGTGTCTGTCGGCTAACATGTCGTTGATGCTTCTCTTTGCCTTATGTTTGAGGCCTGTTCAGGGACAGATAGACAGTGCATGAGTTCAGGGACAAACAGACTGTGTGAGTTCAGGGACAGACAGACAGTGTGTGAGTTCAGGGATGACAGACAGACTGTGTGAGTTCAGGGACAGACAGACAGTGTGTGAGTTCAGGGACAGACAGTGTGTGAGTTCAGGGACAGACAGACAGTGTGTGAGTTCAGGGACAGACAGACAGTGCATAAGTTCAGGGACAAACAGACTGTGTGAGTTCAGGGACAGACAGACAGTGTGTGAGTTCAGGGACGACAGACAGACTGTGTGAGTTCAGGGACAGACAGACAGTGTGTGAGTTCAGGGACAGACAGACAGACTGTGTGAGTTCAGGGACAGACAGACAGTGTGTGAGTTCAGGGACGACAGACAGACTGTGTGAGTTCAGGGACAGACAGACAGTGTGTGAGTTCAGGGACAGACAGTGTGTGAGTTCAGGGACAGACAGACAGTGTGTGAGTTCAGGGACAGACAGACAGTGTGTGAGTTCAGGGACAGACAGACAGTGTGTGAATTCAGGGACACAGACAGACAGTGTGTGAGTTCAGGGACAGACAGACAGTGTGAGTTCAGGGACACAGACAGACAGTGTGTGAGTTCAGGGACAGACAGACTGTGTGAGTTCAGGGACAGATAGACAGTGTGTGAGTTTAGGGACAGACAGACTGTGTGAGTTCAGGGACAGACAGACAGTGTGTGAGTTCAGGGACAGACAGACAGTGTGTGAGTTCAGGGACAGACAGTGTGTGAGTTCAGGGACAGACAGTGTGTGAGTTCAGGGACAGATAGACTGGGTGAGTTCAGGGACACAGACAGACAGTGTGAGTTCAGGGACAGACAGACAGTGTGTGAGTTCAGGGACAGATAGACTGGGTGAGTTCAGGGACACAGACAGACAGTGTGAGTTCAGGGACAGACAGACAGTGTGTGAGTTCAGGGACACAGACAGACAGTGCATGAGTTCAGGGACAGACAGACAGTGTGTGAGTTCAGGGACAGACAGTGTGTGAGTTCAGGGACACAGACAGACAGTGCATGAGTTCAGGGACAAACAGACTGTGTGAGTTCAGGGACAGACAGACAGTGTGTGAGTTCAGGGACAGACAGACAGTGTGTGAGTTCAGGGACACAGACAGACAGTGTGTGAGTTCAGGGACAGACAGACAGTGTGTGAGTTCAGGGACAGACAGACAGACTGTGTGAGTTCAGGGACAGACAGACAGTGTGTGAGTTCAGGGAGTCCCCAGCACAGTGCAGGCCAGTGACACTGTCAAAAGCAGATGGTGACAGAGAGAGACCGGACGCTGGAAGGCTGGTTCCAGCTGTAGCTAAGACCTGGAGGAGAACCAGAGATGCTGGGGAAGGCCGCAGATCTCCTCTCAGCTCCCAGCGCTGACCTCCCACACCTGCTGGAGCCAGCCTAATATTTGTTGATCTTTGAGATGTTCCAGGGAGGGTGATTACCATTTCCAACTCAGAGAAGGGGAATGGAGGTTCTAAGAGGCAGCGCACAGCCTCGGTTGGCTCCACCTCCAGCAAGTGTCGAGGCTAGGATTTGAACCCGGGCAGTACCCTTTCATCTCTCCCAAGCTCCAGCCTAGGAATCACATCACCATCCAAGTATCTGGGGTGACTCCCTGGCCCCTTAATTTCCCTCCTTGCCCCAGGGCAGCAGTAGGAACATCCCCAGGGATGGTGATGACAGAATCCCCGTGAGGTGACAGAGGGTGACACTCACCATCAAACTGTGCTGCCTCCCCATAGCCCTCCTCCTTCTTCTCCTGGAACAGCTCGAGACAGGCACTGGGGCTGGCCAGGAGCAGCCGGAAGCCCTGCCACAGAGGGGAGCAATGGCTCAAGGCATGGCTCCGTTAGACGCCAGAGGCCCTCAAGGACTGAGTTCAGGAGCCAGATGTGCGCTGGGCTCCTTTCTCCCCGTCCCTGGCCACCCCAGCCTCCACCCAAGTGGGTCCCAACTGCAGACCCTTTCCACACCTGTCTTCCTACCTGCTCACTTTGCCTACCGGGAACTGGATTCCTGCCTTCCACATAACCCAGGTGTGTCCTGCTGCGGCTGCTCACTGCCTCCGTCAGGGCCCTCACCACGCTGGACCAGAATCTCTGGCCACTCGGAAGCCCCTCCCCCAGATGGTCTTCTCCCTGAGGCTGAGGGTCACTTTCTTCCTGGCCCTCTCCACAAGATAGTGGGAGTCTGTGGTCAACATCCTGATTAAAATCCTCCCCAGCTACCCCTAGGCTGTATGGACCTGAGAGAGTGCAGAACCCTCCTGAGCCTCGGTTTCCTTACCTGTAAAATGGAGGCAAGCATGGGCTTGTTGGAGGGTTACCTGGCTAAAAGTAGGTGTGAGTCTGGCACATAGAAGGTGCCTGAGAAATTTTCTCAGCTCTTACCAGGTGTCATTCCTGACTTGGAGTGTTCTGGGTCTGAAAAGGCCAGCAGGAAGCACGCAGTCTCCTGGCCTGAGGCTTTTTACTTCTCCAGGAAGCCCTCCCTGATTAACACAGTCTAAGCCCGGGGCATGCTGACCCCATAGGACTGAGCTGATTGGAGTGCCCACACCCCCTAGACATTCCATCAGGCCAGGTGGGGACAGAGGTGTCTCAGTTGGAAAGCTGTGGGATGGTGAAGCCGGGGACACACCTTTTGGTCAGAGGTGGGCACAAAGCTCAGAAACTCATCTATGTGGCCCACAGACAGCCAGTCGGAGTAGAGTTCCACGGGGCGCTGCACCTGCTGGGCCTGCAGGAAGTCCCGCACCACCCTGGCCATCCGCCGCCCGCTGGACCTGGTGGGGAGAGAGGCTCGGTCAGTCACCTCATGCACCCTCCCCCGCCCGCCCAGGGCATCTCCTGTGCCCTCACAACACTCTGAGTGCGTCCTCTTTATCAGAGGGGAAACTGAGGCTCAGTGAGCTAAGGTGACGTAGCCTGGGCCATGCTGCTGAGAAAGGTCAGGGCCAGACTCCACTGCTTAACAGGCCCAGAGAGTTGAAGCCCAAGAGAAGCCACTGGGGACAGAGTGGGAGAGGACGTCCCAGAAGGAGAGACACAGATAGGGCAGGGGACAGATGGGCATGGGCATGACAGATGCAGGCCAAGGTCAGGGGTCAGGTTTGGCAAGGGGGCGGAGCTTGTTTGAATGAGGCCTTCTGAGTCCAGTCAATTACTCCATGTTGAAGAGAGGTTGCGTCTTACTCGTGCCAGAGTGCCTCGGGGATTTGGGGTTCCCCACTCTCCAACCCCCAGAAGTTCCTGAGATGAAATCTAGCATTTCCTAAGCACCCCTTACCCGGGGAGAATACAGCAGGATATGTCCTCCACTACCTCCCATATAGCTGAGGATGACTTCGAACCCCTGGTCCTCCTGCTTCTACCTCCCAAGTGCTGAGATCACAAGTGCAAGACCTCAACGATTTATACAGTGCTGTGGGTTGAACCTAGGGCTCATGCATGTCACCAACTGGACTACATCCCCAGGCCCTGGTCTCAGCTTGGGCTTCTCAGTCTCGGGGCTTGAGATCACTAAGGTCTGGCCCTGACCTTTCTCGGCTGTGTGGCCCAGGCTGTCTTCTCGGCTCTCCAAGCCTTAGTCTACCTTCTGGGAAAGAGGACCCACTCAGAGGGTTATTTTGTATAAAAAGATCCTGTTCCCAACCAACCATCCAGCTTAAGACCACACCACCCACAAGCTCTCAGACCTACTTCCTGTGTGGAGACTGCCCGGAACAAGGAGTGATGCCAACCCTTCTCTGGCCAGCAGGAGCCTTTCTCTCTGGGTGGCCAGTGACCCGTCCTTTTCCTTGATCCCTTATTATCTATCCAGAGGAGGATTTGACAAGTCACACTCTGTACCTCTTCTGGTTGAAACCTTGGGGTCACTCCCATCTTACCCCCAGAAACTGCACAGCCCCTACTGACCTCCTCTGGACCTCCCCATGGCCCACAGTCCAACTAACCTCCACCCTGGCCCTGACCCTCTCCTCTCCAATCATTCTGATCTCTTCTTGTCCCTTGAACTTATCAGACACAATCCTGCCTCAGGACCTTTGCACCTACTCTGCCCTCCCCCGCTGGAGTCACAGCCCTCTCCCCGTGGTCCCGTGGCTCCCCTTTTTCCTCTTCTGGGTGTAACTCAAATCTTGACTTCTTTCTCTGAGGTTTTGACAAATGGCAGCCATGTCCCAACCCCCTTCATAGCTTCATTTTTCTCCATGGCACTGGTTATCCAACTGGGCCCATCTGGGTCTCACCCCCTGCTGGGATGCACACTCTACCTGGGCAGGGTAAGTCTAAGCTGTTCTCTGCTGAAGTCCCTGCCCCTCTCTGATTCAGAAACACTAGTGAGTGATGGAAACGCTTTGGAGCAGCTGTGTAACAAATAGGACCTAGAGGCTCCAGAGGCAAGTCAGTTAGTACAGTGCTTGCCTGCCATGCATGAGGTCCTGAGTTCAATCCCTGGTGCTGCATAAACGGGGTGTGGTGGCACACACCAGTCATTACAGCCCCAGAGGCAGGAGGAGCCTTGGCTGTATTTTGAGTCTGAATTCAGCCAGGAAAAGAGAAGTCCATAATTTATAGAAACTGGAGCCTGCCACAAACAAGCTTGACAAAGACTCAAGTGAAGCTCCTGGCTGGAATTGTGGGTGGGAGGTGGGAGCGCATTCTTCCGTCTGTTAGTTTAATGTAGCACTCCCTGGCCGTTTGGAAGGGCATCTTTAAAAACAATGAGATGGAGAGAAAACAAACAGCCCCTCCTTGGGACTCTCTCCCACTCTTTTCTAGAGGCTGGGGCAAGGAAAAGGTGGTCCCAGCCCCAGGAGAGGGCAGATTGTCTCTGCATCATCACCAAAACTACCACCAGGGGGCAGAATTGTTCAATGATTGGAGCACATGAGTGGCAAACCCAAGGTAGCCTTGAAAGATCTAGTTTGTTGGGTACCTACTGTGCGCTTGGCTTAGGCTCTTACACTTAGTGCCTCCTTTAGTCCTTAAGATCATCCTGAGCTGGGTGGTGGTGGCACACACCTTTAATCCCAGCCTTCGGGAGGCAGAGGCAGGCAGATCTCTGAGTTGGAGGCCAGCCTGATCTACAGAGCGAGTTCCAGGACAGCCAGGGCTACACAGAGCAACCTTGTCTTGGAAACAAACCGACCAACCTAAAAAGATCACCTCAGGATGCATACATATTAGCAATGTCACCATCTGGGGGTCACACTGCCTCCTCCCTCATCTTGTGCCTCATGAGCTTCTCCTTTCTCCCTCAGCTTCAGCCCCTGCCCACTGGCCTCCTCCCAGCCTTCCAAAGCCTCGGGCATGCTCCTGCCTCAGGGCCTTTACAAATGCTCTTGTCTTTCCTCAGAACATTCTCCTTCTGAACACTCAGACTTGTAACTCTCTTCCTTCAGGACATCATCTCACTGTCAGATTCTTGCCCAGACTGAGGGGACAGGTGTGTGCCATGTGCCATGCATGGAGTTCTCTACCAGGGCCGTGTCTAATGACACAGCAGCCCCATGAGGCTGGAGCTGGCACTGTCCCCTTTCTGTAGACATGAATGCTGTGGCTCTGAAAAATTACTGGGATTTATTTTGTTTTTACTGACAGGGTCTCACTGCATAACCCCAGCTAGCCTGGAACTGGCTATGTAGACCAGGCTAGGCTGGAACTCACAGAGATCTGCCTGCCTTTGCCCCCTGAGTGCTGGGATTAAAGGTGTGCGCCACCTGCTGGGATCTTGAAGGCTGCCTGCTCTGTTCACCTCAGAGAACAGATGTCAGAGAGGATGCAGGACAGCAGCAGCCCAACTTGCCAAATTCTACACTGGGATCCAGAGAGGACACCTGGACAGCATCATTAATCCTGTGTGACTCTAGATGGGTGGCTGTCCCTCTCTGGGCACCAAGGTCTCATCTTCCACTAAGGGCCTCATTCCTGGGTTTTAGCAGCCCAAAGGCTGATGTACAGCTCCTCCGTGGGCCACAGCCAATGGGCACCTGGAGACCCTGCCTTCCTTACAGGTCCTTGAGATGAGCTTAGAGACTTCAGAAGGGGGTCTCTGCCGCTTGTGTGTGGAAAAGGCTCCTGGTTGGGACAGGCCTGCCTCTTCTGCCCCCACCCCAACCCTCTGTGTGTATGTGTGTGTGTGGTGTGTGCTCTGTGTGTGTGTTGTGTGTGCTCTGTGTGTGTGGTGTGTGCTCTGTGTGTTGTGTGTGTGCTCTGTGTGTGTGGTGTGTATGTGTTGTGTGTGCTGTGTGTGTGTGTGCGTGCTCTGTGTGTGTTGTATGTGCTCTGTATATGTGGGGTGTGTGCTCTGTGTGTGTGGTGTGTGCTCTGTGTGTGTGGTGTGTGCTCTGTGTGGTGTGTGTGTGTGTGTGTGTGTGGTGTGTGCTGTGTGTGTGTGTGTGTGTGTGTGTGTGTGTGTGTGTTGACATCCGGTGTCCTCCTCTAGTGCCCTCCACTTTAGTTTTGGAGACAGGGTCTCTCACTAAACTTGGGACTGCTTCAGGTGGGCCGGCTACCCAGCGAGCCTCGGGGATCCTCTTGTCTCTGCCCCCAGAGCTGGCATTACAAACGTGTGGGCTATGCCCGGCTTTTGACACCGGTGCTGAGGATCCAGACTCAGGCCTTCGCGATTAGGAAGCTTGCACCTTACCCACTAAACCATCTGGTCAGCCCCAAGGGAGAGGCTTTTTGTTGGTTTGTTTTTCAAAATAGGGTTTCCCTGTATAGCCCTGAGTGTCCTGGAACTCACTCTGTAGACCAGGCTGGTCTTGAACTCTCTTGCCTCCTGAGTCTGAGTGCTACGATTAAAGGCCTGCGCTACCACCGCATTTAATCCTAGAGGAGCATTTCTCTTGTGGCGGGGAGGGGGGCCGGGGGGGCAGTTTGAGACAGGGTTTCTCTGTGCAGCCCTGGCTGTCCTGGACTCACTGTGTAGACCAGGCTGGTCTCAAGCTCACAGAGATCGGTCTGCTTCTGTCTCCCGCGTGCTGGGATTAAAGGTATGCACCATCACTGCTTGGCGGGAGAGGGCTTTTTATCAAACCTATTTTACAGTTGAAGAAAACGAGGCACGGAATAGGAAAGAAATTATTTAAAATGAAACACCATTGCTCACCCTGTTTCCCTAGAACTTCCTTTTCTGTATGTTGGGGGTTTTTTTTGTTTTGCTTAGTCTCCCTGCCCTTTTAGTTTGTTGGTTTTGTTTTATTTGTTTGGTTTTTCGTTTTGGAGACAGAGCCTCACATTGTAGCCAAAGCTGGCCTTGAACTCATGATCCTCCTGCCTTAGCCTCCTGGGGTTATTGGGTTGTACCACCATGTTTAGCACCCACCATACTTTCACCCATGCCTGGCACTTGACCCTCGTTTTTTTTTTTTTTTTTTTTTTTTTTTTTGGTTTTTCGAGACAGGGTTTCTCTGTGTAGCTTTGCGCCTTTCCTGGAACTCACTTGGTAGCCCAGGCTGGCCTCGAACTCACAGAGATCAGCCTGGCTCTGCCTCCCAAGTGCTGGGATTAAAGGCGTGCGCCACCACCGCCCGGCTTGACCCTCGTTTAAATGAACAAATCGAGCCCCAACTATTTGCCAGACACCGTGGCGAACACTGGCTGAGTGACACAGCCCACATCAATGGGCATCGGATCCTGAGACCCACAGGCCGCTCCCTGGGGACCTCCAGGCCTGAAGCCCAGCTCCAGTGTACTATGTGAGGTGGGTGGCCAGCCGGGCCTCTGTCCATCGCCTGGCCAGCCCCAGCCAGTGCAGCAGGTCCGGGGACCCAACTTTGTGCCTCACTTGGTACCAGCAAAACCCACCTTGTCTGATTCAGCAGCCCCAGGCTGTGTGGCCAGCTGGGGCTCAGAGGACAATTTGGGGCACACCTAGACTCCACACCAAGCTCCACAAACGGAAGGGGCCTCCAGGGTTTGTGACAGTGAAACCCCTGTGGGCTTCAAGGGGCACACCCTCGTCTGGCTGCCTGGGGGCAGGAGGGACTCACTGAATGATGAGCCAGCATCTGCCCTTAACTGAGCCTTAACCATCTTGTTCTTTGCACCGTCACAGATGGCCAGCGTGGGGTCACTGAATCGCTCTCATAAGAGTTCCAGCTGCCTGTTCCGCCTTTGGGTCCTTTCAAGACAGGACAGCAGCGATTTTGGCTTTCCCATGCAAAGAGCCTGTCCCTGCTTATGTGGCAAAGGACATGTCACCTCCCAGCTTGGCTGACTTCAGACAGGGTCTCATTAGCCCAGGATGGCCTTGAGCTCTCCATATAGCTGAGGATGACCTTGAACTTCTGATCCTCCTGCTTCCACTCAGCCAAGTGCTGGGATCACAACTATGATCCACCACTCTTGGCTTACTTACACCAAGCTGGAGATCAAACCCAAAGAGGGACCCATGCATGGTAGGCAAGTCCCTGACAACCAAGCTCATTCCTAGCCTCTGACAGGCTGGTTTAATGTGGTGATGATCTTAATCAGACTCTGGACCACTAATTTGACCCTGAGACCTTACAATCTCTGTGACTATTATTCCATGAGCTCTGGAGCACACCTCCCAGACTGGACTCCGTGACAGTCATTCCCCATGGGCTCTGGAAAGCACCTTCCAGTCCAGAGTCTGGGACAGTCATGGGCTCTGGAGAGCCACATGGAGGAGGTGATTGCATCCTCCCTCACCCGCCACCCTCCCAGGCCACTCACTTGGGGAAGCTGCCACCGATGAGGATTCTGCCGAGTGGGTACTCTTTGCTGCCCACCCTCACCGGTGGGCTCACATCCAGGTTGCCGAAGGAATCCAGGCCAGAGGCGCCTGCGAACTGGATCTCCCGGGTCACATATCCGAAGTCAGGACCCTAGAGAGGCATCATCAGAGCATGCATGGGCAGGAAGGTTGGGCGGGGTGGGGGAGGTGGGGAGGAGTCATGCTGAGAGGAGAGTAAGACATGGGACACCTGCTTCCATCCACACCTAACAAGCCCCTCTCTGTATACACTGAGCAGTTCGTGATCAAGTCAGTGCCCAGAGGTGAGCAGAGAGTCTCCAGGCAGGCCCTTGATCAAGCAGCGTATGTCTAAAGGACTTGTGGATGGACAGACGTGGAAAAGAGACCATGAGTAGGAAAAGAAGGAAGGATGGAGCACATCAAGGCTGGGCAGATGGCTCAGGAGGTTAAGAAAGCACTTGTTACGCAAGCATGAAGACCCGAGTTTGGGGACCCAGCACCCACAAAAAAGCCAGGTGTGGTAGCATACACTTGCCATTCTAGCGCTGGGAGGCAGAGGAGACAGAGGTGGAATCCTGGACCTCACTAATTAGCTAGCCAAGCCTAATTGGCAAGTCCTAGTCAATAGGAGGCACTATCTAAAAAAAAAAAAAATGAGGTGGACAACTTTGGAAGCATGACCTCTGGTCTCCACATGTATGTGCACGCACAAATACCCCACACATTAAAACTTGTGAGCTGCTGGGGAAACAGGGCTCAGGACTCCTGACATACCAGTCAAGAGGAGAGGGCATTCAGCAGCCTCAGCCTACATAGTAAGCCAAGAGGAAAGGAGCACCATGAACCCAAAGGGAGCAGAGGCCGAGGGGTCACAGAGCCAAGAGCCAGGGCACTCCAGTCTCCACACATACTCAGAAGGATTCACCACCACCCCCATTGCAAAATATTCCTTTACACTGTGTGAAGATGTGGCACTGTGATTAGTTTAATAAAGAGCTAAATGGTCAATAGCTGGGCAGGAAGAGGTTAGGCGGGATTTCTGGGGATAAAGAAGACTTAGAGAGGAAAAAGATGGAGCTGTCAGCCAGAGACAGAGGAAACAGGACATGCAGGAGGAGAGGTAAGAGCCATGAGCCACGTGGCAGCACATAGATTAATGGATATGGGTTAATTTAAGTTATAAGAGCAAGTGGGACAAGCCTAAGCTAAGGCTGAGCTTTCATAGTTAATAAGTCTCCATGTAGTTATTTGGGAGCTGGCTGGTAGAACTGAGAAAGACTTGTTACACCCCATCCCTACTCCCTGTCCAGGTATGCTAGATACTGGTTTGAGACACCCTATTCCCAAACGCCCTTCTATGTCCACACTGTCCCAGCAGGAAGGGACTTGGAGCCCACAAACCCACAGAAACGGGGCCACCTCGGGAGAAGGTGCAGCCAGCTGTCAGGTACGGGGGCCTTGCAGGTCCCAGCTGGGGTTTGTGCATGGGTGCCCACAGGCTCCCTGCCTTGGGCAAGTTGCTTAACCTCCCCAGGCCTCAGTTTCCTTGGTAGTGAAAAAGGAATTATGAATAACAATTATTAATAATAGGGCAGAGTGTCTTGTGGACTGAACATGGGAAGCCACAAAAAACTAGGGGCAGTGTCCAGAACTCAGTGGTGGCAGTAGCTGCTGCCACCATCCTGTGCATAAGGAGTACCACAGTCCCTGGCATGCTTGCTAAGGGTACACTGCCCCTCAAAGGCAGTCTGGTCTCCAAGGCCACCATCTCTGTTGACTCCCCATTGAGAATGACCCCTGACCACTGAGAATGACCCCTGGCCACTGAGAATGACCCCTGACCACTGAGAATGACCCCTGGCCACTGAGAATAACCCCTGGCCACTGAGAATGACCTCTGACCAAGAACCTTGCTGTTCTGTCTTTCCCAGAATGGAGGAGGTGTAATGGGAGTGGGTGTCTATTTGCATGCAATTTGCATATCATTTGCATTCTTAGCTGGAACCTTCCACCCACTCTCCAGGTTGCTGTCACCACCCCCACCAGTCTCTGGACCCTAAAAGACCAGATGAGGCTCTACCAGAGCTCCCAGGAGAGGAGCCACCAAAGCCCCTCCCCACTCCCCCTCCCCACCCCCGTGTACTTGGCCACACACCAGGATCTTCTTAAGGGCGAAATCCCTCAGGCCTCTGTTTCGAGGGGAGTCAAAGACCACAGGGAAGGATTTGTGAGGGGCGTCAATGTAGCCAAACTCCATCTCATCCTGTGTGAGGAAGAAAGATCTACAGCAGGCCTCCTCAGGAGGTTTCAGGAAAGATGACCCCAGACAATGACATCACCCAAGACCTGAGGAGAACATGCAGGAGGCCTCTGGGGCTCCATCCGGAAGACCCAGCCCAGAGTCAGGAGGAGACAGGAGAGATTGCTCCTGTTGGAGGGTGGCCCTCAGTCCTGTGCCAGGCTGTTCTCACTTGGGCCAGGCAGGCCCATGTCCCCAGGCTTGGCAGGTAGATGTGATTGGGCTCCTGTACTCCCAATCACCCACCATCCACCCAGTTCTTTGGCTTGGCCTTGCACCCACCTGGATCCAGCGATCATTGTTATTCTCCACCCGGGGACAGACCACCAGTTTGCAGTTGGCCTTCAGGGCCAGGTGGGCCATGGCGTCCAGGAACTTGTCATTGCGGCCATGGGCATCTGTCACACTGCAAGGACAGAGACTGCAGCTGGGACCAGATTCCAGCTGTGCCAGGCCCTGGGTCCCTGGGTGCTGAGCTTCAGATCCATCCCTACCCTGGAGAGGCTGGAGATGGGGGGGGTGGGGGGTAGGGGTCACATCCCTAGATCACATCAGATGACCAGTGCATGAGCAGGGCAAGGCCAGGCTGTGGAGCCCAGAGGCAGGGTGCCTGAACCAGCCCAGGCAGTCCAGGGTAGCTATGGAGGTGACCTGAGGCTGATGCCACTGATGGAGACGGCAGTAAGTGGGCTAGCCCTGTCTTCTCAGAGCAGAGAGTGAAGGTGAGGTCTCTGACAGACAGGAGGCTGGGACACTCCTGGCTCCAGGTGGACTGATAATCCCGAGTGGCCACGCCACATCCTCTAGCTACGAATTTGCCTCTGGCTCAGCAGGACTTGTCTTCCCCTACCTGTGGTATCTCAAGGGTTGACCAGCAGAGGCCACTAGATACCAGCGCATAGCCAAAGGACCAGGACACTCAGAATGGGCAAGACTCACAATGGGGCCTGTGGCTGGGTCCCTGGGTCCTCAGAAGATGCAGGAGTGGCCTCAGGAGAGTGAGGCCAGGTCTCTATAGTCCCTGGCACACATGCAGGGCTCTGCCCCACCATCCTGATTTTGTTTTGTTTTGAAACAGGGTCTCACGTAGCAGAGGCTGGATTTGAACCGCCAGTCTTCTCCTTCAGCCTCCCAAATGAGGGATTACAGGCTCGTACCACCACACCTGACCCCACTACTCAGAGTGAATTCAAGGTGTCTAACAGGGAGGGAGCCAGCAGACTTGAGCTGGTGCTGGTCAGTGTGGCAGGATCTCTACTGTGGTCCTGTGGCAGCTCAGGGCTGTGACACCATCCCTGAATGAGGACTGGCCAGCATTATTGCTTACTCTCCTGCTTTTGGCAAGGTGGAGCTGGCGGGGGGGGGGGGGGGGGGGGGGGGCTCACCTGCACACATACAGCTCCAGAGGAGGCTGGGTGTTGGGGGTCATGATCCAGGGGGCCACTCGGAAGCTCACGCTGTCTGTGAACAGTGACACCTCGAAGAGGCCCTGGGGGAGAGGAGAGCTCAGTGGCTTTGTGGGCTCCAGACTGGCCTCTGACCCCACACCCCGCCCTTGGCACAGCCCTCATCTAGTATTTACCTCGGTGCCTACCAGGCTGACGCTGAGAGAGACCAACCCTGAGAAATTGGTGTCAGGGAAGGCAAGTCCCTCCACATAGAACTGGATATCGCTCTCCCCGGGATGCCGCTCCACCTCATAGTCCTGATGATGGGGTCCTAGCACCTGCTTGTAGTCGGAGAGGGAGGTCCCACCTAAGGAGAACAGGGTCAGGCCAATGTGGGGACAGGGTTGGGGCTGGAAGGACAGGAAGACAGGAAATGTGTGGCTGGAGTCTGGGTCTGAGCCACCTCTGGGGAGCACTCCTTGAGTTCCCTTCCAGCTTTACAATGCACAAGCTTTGTGACCTTGGCTCAGTGACTCAACCTCTCTGAACCTCAGGTGAACTGTATAGCAGATAACTAGAGAAAAGCATCACCCAAAAGGTGATGAGGACTCAAATGTCTGTCCATAGTGTTTATAAATAAATTATGCCAAATAAAGTACATCCACAGATGGGCTATGACACACCCACAGAGAGCAATGAAGTGATTGTGCGGGCCACACAATGGACGAATCTCATTTGTGGTGACAGAAGAAGGGAGTGGCTTCTGATGTGGTTGGATTTTTATTTGGGGTAATTAAATATATCACCACTGAACTGCACCCCAGTCCCCTAAAGCTGCAGATTCTGATTAGAAAAATCTAGCGATTCAGCCAGGCCCTGGGCCCCCGCCTCTAAGGTCTCTTGCCCCTCTTTGCCTGCTTGGGTCAAGGGCCCAAGGCCACCAGCCAGCAAGAGTTCGGAGTGACAGAGGAGCCAACAAGTCCTGTGGGGTCAGGGAGGGGCCTTGGTGGCCAAGAAGCCAATGGTTTCACCCACCGGGCTGTGTGACAGTGACTCTGTGTGTCTGGACTTCAGCCTCTCCATCTGTGTAATGGGACCAGCAGTTGGCTCCATCCTTGGCTGTCATACCGTTCCCCAATAGTGCAGTCACACAAGTCACGACGAGTTACAAAAAGGTGACAGTGGCAGAGTGACGGAAGGAAGAAGGGGATGAGATGGGCCACCGCCACTCACCTCGGGCACAGAAGACCCTCAGTCTTCTGGAATCAGGCAAAGACGCCTTCAAGACCAGCTTGTGGCTTTCAAAGAGCTCATCAGGGCCACCGCAGCTCAGGACCATTGGGGACATGTCCTGCAGGTCTAAGAGAGTGATTTCTGAGACAAACGCATCCCCCCAAGACTGCTGTGGAACATTATTTTATTTTTTTGGTTTTTTTGAGACAGGGTTTCTCTGTGTAACAGTTCTGGCTGTCCTGGAACTTGCTTTGTAGACCAGGCTGGCCTCGAACTCACAGAGATCATCAGCCTGCCTCTGCCTCCCAAGTGTCCTGGAACTTGCTTTGTAGACCAGGCTGGCCTCGAACTCACAGAGATCATCAGCCTGCCTCTGCCTCCCAAGTGCTGGGATTAAAGGTGTGCACCACTACCGCCCGGCAGAATATTATTTTAATTAGGCAAAGATGTGTTACATTTGTTTATGCTACAGAATTACTTTAACTGTGTAAAGATGTGTTATATTTGTTTATGCTGCATTTGTTTAATGATGTAAGGATGTGTGTTTAATTATGTAAAGATGTGTTGCATTTGCTTCACCTTGCCTGCCTAAGGCATCTGATTGGTCTAATAAAAAGCTGAACGGCCAATAGCTAGGCAGGAGAGGGACAGGCAAGCCTGGCAGGCAGAGAGAATAAGTAGGAGGAGAAAGCTAGAGAGAAGAAGAGGAGAGAATGAAGGAGAAAAAGAGGGACATGCCTGAGGCCAGAAGCCAGCCAGATGGAGAAGCAGTGAAAGTAAGACGTACAGAAGGAAAGAAAGATAAAAAGCCCCGAGGCAAAACATAGATGAAGAGAAACAGGTTAAGTTGTAAGAGCTAGCAAGAAACGAGCCTAAGCTAAGGCTGAGCATTCAAAACTAATAAGAAGTCTCTGTGTCATGACTTGGGAACTGTTTGGTGGCCCAAAAGAAAGCCTGGGACACAAGACCCCCTCTCTCCCTCCCTCCTCACCTCCCATGCCTGAGGTCACTCACCCTCCAGTGACCTCAAATGTCTGTCATGCAGATCTTCCCTGGACCCACGGGCGTCTCTGTCACAGTTTACCAACAGGATGGCCCCAGAGCCCCCGGAGCCCCAGCGCCAGGTTTCCTGTGGCACACAGGAAGGTTTGGGTTAGTCAAGCCTGGGGGTTCTGGGACGAGACATGGCCTGGGCTGGCTCAGTGGTTAGCTCAGAAACTTTGATATTCTGGGTCCGCTTAAAGTTTTCAAGAGGGACCGTGGACATGGGGAGCAGAACTCTTTAGTGAAGCTCAGACCCGGAGACAACCATCCTTGTGCAGTGAACAACCTGTGCGATCATATGTCGTGGCTCTGCCCAGCACTCACAGTGGAGGAGCAGGGTGACATCACCACATACAGGTTGCACAGTTAATCTTCAAACCCAGGTCTCTGAGATGGCACAGGTCCACTGCTTGCCTCCATGGCACCCATAGCACTCTTGCCCACCCCTCTGAGTAGATGCCACCCTGTGCCAGGGCCCACACCATGGTTTTCATTGTAGTCCCAGCCTGCAACCTCCCAGAGCAACCTCGTGCAGTGAATAACCTATGCAGCCATTCAGGAGTCCTGCCCCACCTTGCCCACAAAGCTTGAGATCCAGACTGCCTCTCTGGGTCTTTCCCTGCAAACTGGACCTCCTGTCCCTATGTGAGCTGCATGCTCCCCATGGGACAGCTCCATTCTCCTTCATTCTTCGTGGCCTAGCTGTAGCTGAATACCATAGCCCCCTCTAACGGAAAATAGCAACCTTTCGCGAAGCACCGGCCATGTTGAGAGGTCCAGACACAACCTCCTGAGTAGAAACTGCAGTGAGCAGACTAAGACAGACCAGAGAGGGTGTTTTCCCAACAGTCACACAGCACTTAGCCAATGTGGCCACACTTCCATAAATGGCACCCATCCTGGACTGGAATTGGCGGCTCTTCTGTTGCCAAGATCACCCAGTCTGCCCGTCAGCTCCACACTCTTGGGGTACCCAGTGTCTCACCTTGTCACCCGAGCCTTTCGTCACCTTGCCTGTGCGGCCTGTGTCGACATCGAGGGACACATCTGCAAAGGGCAGACAGGTCACCTGCCTCTGTACCTGTGATGGCAGGCCCAGCCATCTTGGCTCCCACCCTGACTGATGAGGACCCAGCAGCCTAGCTCAAGAGACTCAACATCTGGGAGCCCATGTGCTGGCCCTGGGACTCTGGCTAGGGTGACACTGGCAGTTCTGGTGTTGGAGGGACACAAGTTGCTGGCTTGGCCACGTGTGATGGGTGACTATGTCTTGGTGGCCCTGGGTTTCTATGCCACATGCAGGGGGCCCTTAACAGTAGCCACTGGGGACCCACGGCCAGGGTCTGTTGTCCTCAGAGGAGGCTGCCATGGGCTCTGGGTGAAAGAGGCACGTGGCTCTTTGTGGTTCTAGGTTGGGTCTCAGGGATACAGAGACATGTGGGACTCCCATGAGGAAGTCACTGTGACTCAAACTGGAAGCAGGGACGTTCTAGATCCTATTGGCCCTAAGCATGGCTGGGTCTCAATTCCTGTGGTCCTGGAGATGTTTGGTGTTCCCAGGAAGCAGAAGGAGAGAGGTGGCTGGCTGAGGCCTTCTGCTCCAAGGCTCCACAACCTTCAGTCACCTTCACCATATTCCAATAGCTACCACGTCCACAGTCAGGCAAAAGCAGGACTCACCAACACTAGTGAGGTAGAGCACGCTGTGACCCAGAGCACCAGCTTCCTGCGACCCGAAGTATGACACCTTCACCTGGGGAAGGAAGTCAGTCCTAAGAGAAGGCAGAGGACATGTGGGCCACACCTACAGCCCCGTTTTGAGGCAGAGGCAAAGCTCTTTGGCAATTATGACCTGGGGTGCTGTTCCAGGGCGCCAAGCAATTTGAGGAGAAACGAGGGCTACAAAGAGGGATATGGTGAGTCCAAGACCTTCTGGGATGTGAGAGGGACAGACAGAGAGGGGCCACTGTCCCTACTGGCCTAGGCAACTTGACCTCCTTTGGGATCGTTCATCCTCTGTACTGAGGGAATGACCACCCTGGTCCACGATCACAGTGAGTGTCAGGACTTTTGCCACAGTCCAGACTCCCATCCCCTACCCCCACTTGACCCACGTGACAGGATTCCTTCCAGGGAAGGTTGCCACAGACCCTGTCATGAACAGAGCTACACACAGGTCCTAGCTTGTCCCATCCCGGAGAAGGCACTGGGCCAGGAGTTGAGGGAACGTTGGGTATGAGAGACACTAGGACCAGAGGGAAGGGTCAGCCAGAGGTGGCTTGCTGGGTACATGTGGAGGCTTGAGTGGGCGTGCTGAGGCCCTGTGTGAGAACACGTGAGTGCAGCCATGGGATCCTGCGCGGGGAGCACGGAGGTTTGTGGGTAACTGGAGGGAGTAACAGAGCTGTGTGAATCTGAGGGGTGACCAGGTTGTTCCTGAGTGCTGTGTGATGTTGGGGTACATGAGGTGGGCTGTGGGTCTGGGTCTCTGTGCGGATCTGAGGGGTGACTGGGGTATTCCCGTGTGCTGTATGATGTTGGGGAGCATGAGGTGAAACGTGGATCTGGGTCTCTGTGTGGATCTTGGTGGTGATCAGGGAGTTCCGGTATGCTGTGTGATATTGGGGTGCATGAGGTGGGCTGTGGGTCTGGATCTCTGTGTGGATCTTGGGGGTGACCCGGTTGTTCCAGTGTGCTGTGTAGTGTTGGGGTGTGTGAAGTTTGGGTCTCTGTGGAGATGTGTCCAAGATGACTCAGGATGGGATATAAGCCAGCCCGAGGGATACTTACCTTGAGGTCATTTAAGTCCTTACTGACTGTGTCCGCCGCCACCACCACATCCACATTGGCATCCAGGGGCCAGTGGGCCCGGCCTGTGGGCTCCGCCACCCGTGCGGGATCATAGACCATGTAGATCTTCACCTCAGAGCTCCCAGACACCCCAAAGGTGTTGGCACCCTTGGGCACATCGCTAAGGAAAAGTAGGGAGAGAGAGAGACTGAGGGGCTCAGAGAGTGGCCATGGGAGGCAGAGGCTGGAATGTCACTGTTTAGGAAGAGGTACCCCTTACCGGTGGGTCTCTCTGCTCTAACCACATGGTCCTTCCTGCTAGTTCATGAAGATACCAAGCTTTCCTGCCTCAGGACCTTCATATAACTGAATGCACTCCCCCAACATCCACAAGGCTTATACCCTTAGACTTCAGGGGTTTGTTTAAATGTCTCCTTTTCAACTACCCTCCTGAGATGGTTAGGGTTAATTGACAGCACCTGGAACTATCTGGGGGTCTGGGCCTTAGAACCTGCCTATGAGGGATTGTCTTGATTGTATTAATTGATGTAAATGGGGTGGTAAGATGGTTCAGCAGGTAAGGGGCTTGCCGCCAAGCCTGATAATCTGAGTTCGATCCCCCAGGCCCTAATGGCAGAATGAAAGAACCGACTCTGTCTGACCTCCGCTTGTGTACGTGCACACACATAGATTTCTTTAAAACATAATTTGTTAATTGGTGTGGGAATACCCATTTTAATTATGGGTGGGGCCATTCCCTGGGCAGATGATCCCAGACTGTACAAGGACAGAGAGAGGGCTGAGCAGAAGTACGGCTTCTCTCATGGCTCCCTTCCGACTATGGACAGGTGCTTCTGGCTCCTGCTGCCTTGACTGCCCACTGTGATGGGCTGCACCCTGAACCCTGGACCGGAATAAGCCCCTCCTCCTTTAGCTGTTACATCGTGTTATTTTACCACAGCAACGGGGAGAGAAACTAAGACACCCGCCTCATCCCTCCAACTAAGGCTGCATCATCCTCCTGCACACCGTCCTTTCCTGCTTTATCAACAGTGTGCATCGCTGTCCTGCTGTCCTGCCGTCCTGCTGTCCTGCTAGCTTAGTTCCGGAGGGCAGCCAGTTTGCCTAGCTTGCTGCTGGATCCTCAGAGAGTGTAGGGACACTCAGCAGTCACGTGGAAAGGAAAACATGGATTCCCACTTTCTGCCAACCTCAGGGTTCCCTCTGGCCCATCTGCACCGGAGTGTGGCAACAGTACCCGCTGACGTGGACCCCACCATACAGCAGCTTCTCCCTGTCCACCTGACGCCTGGTACCCAACTGAAGCTCCAGAGCTCTTGGCTCTGGAGAGACAGGGAACCATCAATCTGCTGAGCCCCTCAGCTGCTGGACCACCTGCTTGGGATCCTTCTGTAGCCGCAGCTTCAGAATGGGTCCTGGGGAGATGTATTGTCCTTCGACTGATGGATATAAGCTGCCTACCTCTGTATCAGGCTCTAGCCTGGTCTCAGGCCTCACAGAGTCCTCCTCCCTGAGGAGCTGCTGCCCTGAGGAGACATCAGAAGAGGGGGCCACACATGCGTGGCTCTCTCCCCTGCCCATTAGTGCTCAGAGCTCTCTACCACAGCATCTCACAGCTGATGAGGTCACTGACCACTCATGACCACTTACAGAGACCCCCTGACTACATAGACAAGGTGGGAGGTCTTTTCTCACATCCTCCTGCCTCTACGCTTCCCTGGGCCCCTAAGAATCCATCCAAGCACACCTCTGAAAAAAGTCCTTCCCCAGCCCCCTTCCCCATCAAGTAACTGTCTTCATTGACACTAGTGATGATGGCTGTGGTTACACGAGAGCACATTCACTGTTCAATAGCCAAGCACGGGGCCTTATGTCCTACATAATCCGTGCGCCGTGTGGTCATGTAATTAGCGCACAGCGTGATCACACAATCTACGTGCATGCGTGGCGTAGCTATGTGAGCCCATATGCGCATGTGCAGGGGAATCCATAAAAGCGGGTCACAGACTCCTCCCCCCTTTTCCTTCCCCCTTCTCCTCCTTCCGCCCTCTCCGCACATGTCTCTCCAGCAGGCCCGAGCACACCCTCTCCTGTCCCTCCCTTTCCTAATAAACTCTCACAGTGGCTTTTGTTGTGGCTTTCCCTCGCAGGGTAAACAGCGCCGCCGCATAAAACCAACAATGGCCACAGTTCCTTCAGTCACACCCTGTGGCCCACCACAGCCCCACTCTACTGAAGAGGCAGAAGCAGAGGGGAGGGGTCCCTGGAGCACCACAGGCCTCCCCTGGCCCACCCTCAGAGCATCCTCCACTCTGTGCTCCTGTTGCCATGGAAACCTCACACCTTCCACTCCCTCTCCTTCTTCCAGGTGCCGTGATCATTTTGATTTAGTGCCCCATTGAGCACCAGGGACCGACTTGCCCCACAGTGGCCATGCCCTCCTAAAGCCTTATCCCCATGGCTACTGCCATTCTGCCCACATGGCTTGAGGTTCCAGCTGTTCCTTGCTCCTCACTGTCCCAGAACTTGTGGCCTTGAACTCACTATATAAACAAGGATGACCTTGAATTCCTGATCCTCCAGCCCTTGAAGTTAATTGTTCAGATGTCAGCATGTGCAAGGCCCCCTCCCTCCCTGCTGGCTGTCACTCTGCCCTCGCCCCTGGAGGGTACCAGCTCCCAGCTCCCAGCATGCTGTGGTCCCCGGGTTTTATTGTCAATGGCACCAGCTCCTGACATCTCCTTGGCCCCACCCCACGCTTCCAATGCAGCTGCCTCCATCTGGCCTCAGGCATCTCTCTGGGGTAGGCCCCACACACTGTCATTACTAAGGACCAAACTGCCCTGTCAGCACTCACCGGACCACATCTGAATCTCAACACTCCCACACCAGGGCTCAACCCCCTGGGCCTTCTGCACCTGACCCTCTCAGCTTTCCCTCTGTCAGCTGCCTGGCTTAGTTCCAGCAGCTGCCAAGGCCAGCTCGCCACTCAGTTTCTGAGCTGTGCTAGACACAATGGATTGTCTGGGTCTGTGGCTGCTGACCTTGAATATGACCTTTGACACTGCCTGACTGTTGAGCGTTCTCTCTCTCTCTCTCTCTGCACATCACCTGTACCCTATCACATCTGTCTCTTAGCCGCACCCTAGCCTGTCCCTGACCTGGACCAGGGGTGTCCTCTACACCCCCACCTTCCCTTCTCCCTCATACCCAACTCATGGACACTGCAAATGTCACCATCTGACCATCACGGCTCCCGACACTGTCACCAGGCTGTTGGGCACCCTCTCTAAGACAGCTCCTGCCCCCCTACTCCCATGGTTCCTGGGACATATCTCCAGTAGGCCTTAGCCTTCCTCCCCTACCCGGGACACCAGAGTTACTCCATCCCCGGACCCAGCACTTTCCCCTCTTGCTGGAAACTTGTCCCCAACTGGCTGCAAGCTCCCAGGCTCTGCTTTCTCCCCCTCCACCCAGCCTCACGAACGCATCCTTCGCTGCCCCATCCCAGCAGCAAAAGTTTTCTGGGGGCACATATATGCGAACACTATAAAACTTATTAACATAAACAAGGTATCTCCTATGATCCTAACACTGTATGTTACTCCTCATCGGCGAGTGCCTAGTAAAGTCCACAGAACCCATTTCTCCTCACTGTAGCGGGCTGTGGCGGCAGCTCATACCACAGTTGGACAAGGCAGTAGTTGTCTGTCCCAGACTGATCATTATTTCACCAATAATGCTGCTGTCATTGAATCTGATGGGCAACTTGACAGTGACTTGAGGGGTGTGTGCGTGTGCATGTGCGTGCGTGCGTGCGTGCGTGCGTGTGTGTGTGTGTGTGTGTGTGTGTGTGTGTGTACCCAGTGTCTCTCCTTGGTTCAGCAACTTTGCAAAGTCAATGTAGGAAGATGTGGTGGTTTGAATGATAATGCCCCCACAGGGCAGTGTATTTGAATGCTTGATCCCCAGTTGGTGGAGGGATTAGGAGGCGTGGCCTTGGCAGAGGTGAATCGCTAGGGGTGGCCTTGGAGGTTTCAAAGATGCGGACCATTGCTCGTCGGTGCTCTCCCCTCTGTCTCCTGCTAGTGGAGTAGATGTGAGCTCTCAGCTACTGCTCCAGCACCATGCCGGCCTGCGAGGCCACGCTCCCTGCCCTAACGGCCGTGGACTTCAACCCTTCTGAACCCATGAGTCCCAGATGAAATGCTTTCTTGTGTAAGTTGCCTTGATCATGGCGTTTGTCACAGGTGTCAATGTGCCACATCTCTGTCTCGCCACCCTCACAGGTAGGGGCCAGTTGTGGCTGCCCTTGAGAGGCAGCTCTAGGCAGAACAGGCCTGCCGGGCCCTTCCCTGGGGGCATGGAGGGGCCTGTCCCGCCCAATCCTGCTGCCTTCAAGGCTCTGGCCACCCTCACCCTGTCCCTGTCAGAAGCAGGTGCTCAGCAAGGTCCCAGGGTGGCAGTGGAGTCATGGCTATTTTTTGTGGTGCCCGAGAGAGGCGGCTTTTGCCAGGAGGGTGCTGTGTGTCCTTGGATTCTCATTCCCCTGGCATCCTGGCCCTACCCCTCCTAGAGCCTCAGGCACCAGACTGGCACTACAGGTCTGTGGGTGGGCCATGAATTAAGTGACAGGCATGTGTGGGAGCTGGGGTAAGTCCAGGAAATCCACAGTTGGATCTGCTTCCAGCATACATTGCCATGCCACCCGATGCCTCCCCATGCCTCTCTCCGTGAGGAGGTATCTTGCTGGGAAGCTCCTGACAGGGTGACATTCTGGCACGTCCCCAGACTCACAGTCAAAGAAAATCTCCTCTCTAAAACGAAGGGACAAGACTGGTATGGTAGTGCATTCCCCTAATCCCAGCACTAGAGAGACAGAGGCAGGCAGATCTCTGTGAGTTCAAGGCCAGTCTGGTCTACATGGCCACCTCCAGGCCAGCTGGGCTTGCAAAGTGAAACCCATTCTCAAAGACAATAGGGAGGAACCAAAGGGGGCTGTCCTGGTCAGTTTTCTGTCAACTTGACCCAAGCGAGGGCTATTTGGGCAGAGGGAACTTCAATTCAGAAAACGGCCCACTCAGCCTTGGTTTTTCTCCATAAAGTGGGCACGTCTACAGAGCCACCTCCCGGTCTGGTGAGGATTCTGGAAATGCTGTA